CGTTTCTCTCTCTCTCTCCCTCTCCCTCTCCCTTCCGCTCTGAAATCAATAAAAATATATTTAAAACAACAACCAAAGTGAACTGGTGCTCATAAGCCACTTCAACCAAGAGGACCACCTCCCTCCAGACTGTTGCCTGAGGAGGAATAAAATCCCACCTTGTGATAAAGAAATCCCAGGTGATTCTAATGTGCAGCCAAGGTTGAGAACCACTGGTCTAGATCACGTGTGCACACATCAGTGTTTGCATTCGGGGCCTCTGAGACTGTCCCTGTTAAAATATTCTGACAACTCTCAGATCTCTTTCCTGGGTTCTGGAACAGTGCATCCAACTGACATTTCAACGTCTCTACCTGGTTATCCCATAAACAACTCTCACCATGTCCCAGACTGAACTCTTCTGTCGACTTCCTCTGCCCTTGCTCCTGTGGTCTCTCCCTCATCAGTCATCCAGACTATAACCTTGGGACTCATCCTTGAGTCCTCTCTCCCTGTGCTCTGCTTGCAAGCACAGCCTTACCATCTCTGGTTTCTATCTGTTCTCTCCATCCCAACTACTACTGTCTTATTTCAGACATGTGCCATCCCTTAGATCAGGGGTCCTCAAACTTTTTAAACAGGGGGCCAGTTCACTGTCCCTCAGACCGTTGGAGGGCCGGACTATAGTTTAAAAAAAAACTATGAACAAATTCCTATGCACACTGCACATATCTTATTTTGAAGTAAAAAAACAAAACGGGAACAAATTCAATATTTGTATTTGCATGTGGCCCGCAGGCCGTAGTGTGAGGACCCCTGCTTTGAACCAAGCATGGTCCCAGCCTCCTTCCTCACGGCAAACCTGAAACAAAACTTGGCATATGGTCCTAATTAATCTGTCGGAAGACTTGTTTGAGCCACTGTAATGTGGGGCCTCTTTGTTACAGCAGCTTGGCTGCACCCTACTTACCAGAGCGAGAAGGGCCATCTCCCACGCACCCCCACCATTCATGGGGGCAAAAGGGAATAGAGAAATTAATAAAAACAAGGGCGGGGCCCCGCATGGACCAAGAATAGCAATGTGCTGTGAATGGAAAAGGATTACCGAAGCCCTCTGCCCACCTAAATCCAAGAAAGAAAAGAAGGGAGTGTGGGGGAGCATGGAAATTAAATGTCAGAAAGGGATCCAAGCCCTGGCCAGTTGCTCAGTGGTTAGAGTGTCTTCCCACAGACCGAAGGGTCGTGGGTTTGATTCCCGGCCCAGGGCATGCACCTCCATTGCAGGTTCGTCCTCAGCCCTGTTGGGGCACGTGCAGTAGGCAACCAATCGATGTGTCCCTCTCACTTTGCTATTTCTCTCTGTCTTCCCCTCCTCTCCATCCCTTCCACTCTCTCTTAAAAAATCAATGGAAAAAACATTCTTGGGTGAGGATTTAAAAAAAGAAAAGCAAAGAAAGGAGAGGACTCAAGCTAGTCTGCCCCACCGGGAAGCCATGCCTCGGGAGGTCCTTGTCTGGCCTGGGATGGCCCATGTCCATGAGGACCTGGTGGGGCGGGGGGAGGTCTAGAGGCCAGGACTGGGCCTGGGTAGATAGGATGTGAGGCCTGGCAGTCACCATTCTCTGTGCCCTGGTTCCTGGGTTCTGGTGGCCACAGCACTAGCTGGGAACCCAGCAGACAGCCGGGCGTGGGCCCTGGGTCCATGGGGGAGGCCTGGGCTCTTTGGGAAGCAAGCAGGGACTCTCAAGGTCACGACATCTCAGGCCTCTTCCGTTCTTGGAGGCTCATTGTGTTCTGGAAGCATTAAGAATCCCGAGAACAGCATTACGAGGACAGCGGTGTGTCTTACATGCTTATGCCTGTCTGATTAATGCTTTTCACACACACACACACACACACACACACACGCACACACGCACGCACAGTGCGATACAGTTGTTCTGTTCACAAGGTAATTACAGGTTCATAAGGGAGAGGGGAGTCTGGGCTGGGACGCACTGTTAATAGTTGTTCTGTTCACAAGGTAATTACAGGTTCATAAGGAAGTTAACCCGGGAGAGGGGAGTCTGGGCTGGGACGCACTCTTAACGCCCCAGGAACGTTCCCAGGTCTCAGTCCTGTCAGAGAAATTGTCTGACTCTGTAACTGAATGTGTAACTTCTCATAGAAACAGTATCAGTTAGTATGAAAGGCTCTTCAGGAAAGTGAGGCCTGGGCAGCTCCTCCCCATGCCCAAGCCAGGTCTGCGCAGGCCTGAGCCCGGACGACGACCAGGCGGAGCCGGCCACGTAGTGAGCAGGGCAGCCTCCTCCAGGCCCCAAACCAGCAGAGCCAAGAGCTGCAGGCCTGGCTCAGCCTCCCAGCCTGGTGCGGCTGCTACTGCTGGCTCGCCTCTGGCCGTAGGTCTGGTGCAGGGGCTGGCAGGGGCCAGCAGGGGCCACGGTCTCTTTTGGGGGAGGGACCAGGAGGTGAATGGCTGAGATTTAAGGACTTAGACCCTCCAAGATGCTTGAGGCAGAGTTTGGAGCTGCCTGCTGACTCTTATCATCCCTCCTCAGGCTGGAGTCAGGGGGTCAGGGGTGGGAGAGGGAAAGGTTGAGTCTCAGGCTCCTGGGAACTGGGTCTGAGCCTCCAGCCCCACTCCCAGCCCCAATCAGGCCCAGCCACTCGAACGGGAGACAGACAGAGCTTCGCAGCCACTGAGAATTAAAACTCATTGATTTTCCCCATTAGCTAGAGAAGGCCATCAGCGTGCATTAAACCAGGCACAACAGCAGCTTCATGAATAATTAACATTCGCAAATGACAACCCCGGTGGGGGGGGCCCCCCCCAGGAAAGGCAAGGGGTGACTGGAGGCTTGGGGCAGCCTGACCCCTCTTCTCCCACCTCAGGGAGCCACAGCCTGGCCTGCCCTCCCTCCTCCTGGTCCCCTAACGTCCACTCCTCTTCTCGCCCCCTGTCCTCTTCCCAGAGAAACCCCAGGTCTGAGGCACATGATCCTGGCTGCCCTGGAGCATGGAGCCAGCACTGACAGGGGCTGGGAGTGCCGCTCTGCTCTGCTGTGTCCCCACGTGGCCTCAGAGGGTCTGCCCTTCCTGGGCTCACAGGGGTTGGATTCGCTGGCTTCTAAGTCTCTAGATCTGTGGTTCCAGGGAGGGACAGCGACCGGCCCAAAGCACGCAGGTCTGTAGCAGAGCCCACCCTGGAGCCCAGTGCCCTGTGTCATCACCCCAGCCCAGCCTAGGGGACTCCTTAGTGCAAGTCAGAAAAAGTCACCCCCTTTGGAGAAACTAATTCAAATAAGGAACCCCTCTGGGTGGGCCACTTAGAAAAAGGCACCCTCCTCCCCACACTGTCACAGTTCTGAAGGCGCAGGGCGTGGAGACCAGCCCCCACGCACCATCTGTCTGGGTCCCTGTGCTCAGCCTCAACAACTCAGCTGACCCCACCCACCCACCTCCTCACCCCTCCGCTGACCCACGTCCCCACTTCCATCCTCCTCCCACCCGTCCTTCCTCCTCAGAGCCCTGGGAGGGCCAGATCTGGCTGCATACCTCCCACACCCCTGGCTGTGTGTGTTGTAAATTGCAGAGGAGGTGAGTGGGACTGAAAGCCGGCCTGCTATCCACACGACAAGCTGGTTGGGGCTGGGGGTGCGGGGTGGGAGGCTGCACCCGCCCAGAGGGAGCACTGGTTCCCAATTCACACAGGGCACCATGTCGATGCCTGCAGCCCCAGGGGCCTCCCACCAGGAGCCCAGCCACTAAGGCAGGAGTGGTGTCTGCCCTCTTCCTCGCCGGGTGCCTGGCACATAGCAGGTGCTCAAGAAACAGTTTCAAGCAAACAGCTTCTCCTGGGATTCCCCCACACCCACCCTCTTCACACGCCTCAGCGGCACAGATGGCTGTGTGCAGTGCATCTCCGGGTCCCACGGGAGCTGTGTGCGGAACATCAGGGCAGGCCCCACGGGAAGCCTGCCACGTAACTGGACCCGGAGGCAGTGATGCTGACTGTTAAGGGAGCAAGGGGCGGGGAGGGGGAACCCAGGGAGCTGAGGGGAGATGTGTGAGTGGAGGCGTCCGTCTGTCCGGGATGCTCTCAGGAGCTCAGAGCCCTGCCCATCCCAGAGTCCCAGAGGTGCTGCCCTGAGCCACCAGCCCCACCCGGCTCCCCGAAGTATGGGTGGAGGGTGCAAGTGGCCAGGCTCTCTGACCGAGGTACAGATGCTGGAGGTGGCTTCGGAGGGTCCTTCGAGGGGCAGGCCAGGTTCAGTGGGGGGCAGAACGGAGGCCACGCCCCTCCTGCTGCTCCGTGGTGTGGCCACCTGCTCTCCCAGCTCGCCACCCCCCAACAGCTCTGGCAGGGAAGGAGTTAACCTCCCAGCTTCTCAGCAAGAATGTGGAGCTATTAATACCCACAGCCTAGCGGTCTGCCAGAGCGGCTCCCAGTCCGAGGGAGCAGGGAGCAGGGACTGAGGGAGAGAGCTCCAGTCTAGGCAGAGGCAGAGCCCAGCGAGGACCCCAGGGCCCAGAACTCCTCTAGGGGACAGTGTGGGCACTGTGCCAGCCTCACCCGGCCCTCACCCACCTTCAGCTGCAGGTCCTGACCCTCCCTCCTGGAGGCCACCGGTGCCACGCACTTCAGGAGAACAAACTTTCTTAGGGAAACCACCTCTCCTGCCGCGCTGGCTGCACAGGGAGGAGCAGACGCCTGGACAGACGGATGCACAGACGGTCGGGACACCTGAGCCTCTCCTCCCAGCCTCGCCTCTGACAGGCGGCAGCAGAGTGGGCAGCTGAGGGGCACGGGGGCCCTGCTGGACCTTCGTCCCACAGGGAGCCCCTCTGAGCCCAAGGCCCAGCACTGCGCCCGGAAGGCCCGTGGGTCAGGGCAGGAGTCCCAGCCGGACAGAGCCCCGGGCTCTTCCACCCACCAAGGCGACGGGCAACCTGAGTGC